AGAATTCCAGTGCCAATAGGCTATAGGTACCTAATGAGTCATAATAATAATAGATTAATAATACATTCAAAATTCATCCCACACGGGAAAATAATTGTTCGTGCGTATGGAAATAATTTCCAACTATTAGTTTAACAATTTTTTATACGCTCTTTGCCAGCTGTATATTTCTTGCAATTTATTTATTTTCCCCTAAAATATAATATTATTTGCTTCGTACCAGTTGTATGAATTTTATTATAGTGCGACAAAGCTCATGGGCTAGTCGAGGTTATTGGCTCATAATAGCTATACGGTAACAATTTTTATTTTCGCGGAAGACGAAAGCCGTTCAATTAAAACGGATCAATAATATTAGTGATATTACGATTACTTTTATGAAATTTGATAGCCATCTATTTGTTCTAAATGCATGGACTCGATCGTGGAGGAAGCCTTAGCCGACCAGCAGCTACATTAGCAGCGGTTCCCAAACTATGGGTTGCAAAAGGAATCTTAGTGGGTCGCGAAAAGATGTAGAAGGCTTTGATTAATCATACTGGTTATTAGGATCGGTGGTGACTCGAATACGTAAATCTTCAAAAAAAAATAAAAAATAAATAAATAAATTGAATTTAAATTATAATCTGGGAAAGAATGACCATGTGGCTTTTTTACGCATAGCAGTTTTGAACACTGGACATCACTTGTTACCGTGTTTCCCCGAAATTTAGACAGGATTTAGATTTATTTTGAAGAATAACACTATGTTTTTTTGAAAGAGGTCTTTTTTTTTACTAAACTTTATATAAAAACCGACATCCATTATTTTTATTTGTATTTCCTTTACAAAAATCAAGTGACAAATATCAATTGTGATTGTGACATCACACAATCTTGAATAGTGGTGTCATCTTCACCTTACCTCAGGTCAATGAACCTTTCCTCTCGCACACATTTTAAATTTCTTTTAAGGGTATGGTTTAATTTAAATCGTGCGGCTTCCTCCGCCACCAAGTCCATACTTCCGAAAACAAGTAACTAACTAATCCCACACCCGACATGGAATGGTAACCGTACGAGAGGCCGTGGTTCGCCATATGGTTAAGCCTTATTATCGGCTTTCCGCTCCCTCAGGATAAATATGTTAATCTCAACCTATCCTAGTGGAAGAAAAGCGTGCGACCACCTGATATATTTTCTCTTCTCGGTCGAACTACCGTAATCATCTTTGTTTATACTTCCTTGTTGTGGCCTGCACAAATCATTTTGACCAATTTTTATGCAAATAGGGTCGACGGTGACCTTTGTTTGCGCAATATTGGCAGGTATGCGGCAACCAAACAATACTTTGATGAAATTTTGACTTATTATTTATGTCAATGACTCGGAACGTATCAATGAAAGTTTGGTTTCTTCTCGTCGATATTTGTCCCTTGAGTTCACACCTGATTTGTAAAATATCACTGTTACGTCTTTGCATCATGAAGTATTTTAGCGTAGCCCAATAAAAATAAATTTTTATGACAGAAGTTTTTCAAAACTTCAGTTGCACGGTATCTCATTATTGCTGTTTTGATTAAGCTGTTTAAGTTTAAAATCTACTTAAAAATAGCCTATAGTCTAACTAACATACCTATCATCACTGCCAATGCAACATCTTCGTACCAGTGATATGTCGAACACCGAAACAAACAAGGCTTCCTTCTACGACACCATAAAGCCTATCCCAAAGCCGCGTCTGAGCAGAAGCCTTCCTGATCCTGGCCTCTCTCCAATAGGTCCCATCATACATCAAAAAGAGGGACCTTACAACCTTCAACAAAACCTACAGGAAACAATTCAAAGACACATTGAAATACTACTTCCAACTCTTATCACCAAGTGTCTTGAAGATCATTTTAACCCAGCGAACACCAGCTCGGATTATGCATCACTGAGCCCTGGGCTTAAAGAATGCATAGAAGACCAAATGCAGTCTTTAAAGGAGGTAAAACAAGACATCGCCTCAATTAAGGAAACCCAGAGTTTTCAATCGGACATGTTCGATAAGCTGTCCTCAAAACAAAAATCGATGGATGAAAAATTAACCATCTATGGTAAAAAAATACGTGAACTTGAGGAACTAGTTTATGACCTGGAGGAAGACCTGGATTATACTGCTGAAAAACTGGAAGAACAGGAAAGGAGGTCAAGACTCGACAACTAAGAGTTTCATGGCCTTGCACCATCAGTGAACGAAGACACAGATAAACTTGTAATTGAGGTTGGTAAATTGATCAATGTTGATATTAAACCATCTGACATCTCAATCACTCATCGCAGCCCAACCCACAACTCGAACATTCACAAACCTATCGTAGCCAAATTTACCAACAGGAAGATACGGAATAAAATCCTCAAGAATCGCCATTTAATCAGAAGCCCCTCACACAGATCATCCTTAACTAACTTGTCCAAGGCCTTCATTGTGGAGAATTTGACTGAAAAAAATAAAAATCTCTTTTACCAAGCTAAAATTCTCAAAAAACGATGTGGCTATGCTTTCCTCTGGACATCGAACGGGAGAGTATTAGTGAAAAAAATAAAGATACCAATACCATTTCAATATCTGATGAAGATGATCTGCAAAAAATCAGATAAGTGTCTTTTCTATTTGAACTATTGTCCTATATCTTTTATTCCTACTATGGAAAATTTAAACAACTTAGGCCAGATTTGTAGAGAAATACCCACATCCGCTTGGCATTTTATTATTCGTGTTACTGTTTGCGACAAATTTTTCTCATTTGATCATTACAACTCAATCTCATTTGATAGAAAGCACACTTATTATCCTAAATCTCCTTCAAATCTATGTGCCCTGTATATGATTTAACCTCTCATCCTTCCCATGTAAACTGGGAATCTACCATTCTTCATACCCATGTTAGTTTACCACCATGTCGGCACCTCCAAATTAATGAGATCAACGAGGTCTCATCCAGCTTTCCACCCTCTGATCTCATTTTAGTGCATTTCAACATCAGGTCACTGCCAAAATATGCTGACAACCTTATCGAATTAATATCTCATTTTCATGTTCTCCCTCATATAATTGCCCTGAGTGAGACCAGAATCATTCATGGAGCCACGTTTGTAAATATCGATATCCCGGGGTACGCGTTTATTCATGTTCCCACCCCAACCCAAGCTGGAGGCGTGGGATTTTACCTCAGAAAAAATTTAGATTACCAAATCATCCAAGATTTTAACTTAGCATTTCCAAACTGCGAAGACTTGTGGATTGAGGTCAAACAAAACTCAAACAACCAGAGCCTAGTAATTGGTGTAGTTTATAAACATCCGAAAAGTAACATCCCATCATTCACAGGAGCAATGGCTCGTGTTCTTCAATTAGAGATATTGAAATTGATGCACCAACATCACAACAAAAAACTCCCTGTTACATTCACTGATTATTTCTTGAAACAAAGCAGCGTGCATTCTTATAGAACACGATCCTCTGCCAGTAGTTCCTATTATGTAACTCATTTTTCAACCAAACGTACTCAAAATTCGATAAAATATACAGGCGTTAAATTATGGAATGCTGTATCCGATAACATTCGAATTATGAATTACAATTCATTCAAACAAGCTTTGAAAAAATTTTACCTGGATTCCTATGTATCCTTTTAGTCTGCTTCAATAAGTGGTATAGATCCCTTATAAGTATAGTAGTGTACCGTATACAACCCATGTCCCCCACCTTTTGTGTGGCTCGATTTTTCTATAACTGGTCATTCGGTCCAGGATCTCTATTTTACCTAAACGATCGTGACTTTTTTCACCTCTTAATGCCATTGGCATTGTCACCATTTTTCTTTATTGTCCTCACAGAGCACGACCATTATCACTGAGTTTGCATCAACTTTTCCCATCAAAACTGTTTTTCCTGTCTGAATTGTACTTATATATATTTATTTATATATTGCCTTATCAGTACCGGTACTTAATCCAACCCGGCTTCCCCTGTTATGGTTGCTGGGAATTCCCCTTCAGTTGCTAAGTTTCTGCAGCGTCCTGCCAGTCAACAATTTCATATTGTGATTGCGATCACCCGAGCATGACGCTGCGAGACTGACATACTGATTTATCGTAAACGCGTTTTTTCTGACTTTTACTCGACACGATGGATATTTGTTCCCATTTAATCATTTCTCTCTCGATTCCATTCACATTTCTTTTTAAACCTTTCTCTTTTGACTTGCTCTCTCGATTCGATTTACGTTTTCTAAATTTCCCCTGAGCTAACTTAATTCTAGATTAATCATTTCTTCCCCGACTCTCTTGATTCCATTCATACTTTTTATTTAAACTTTTCTCATTTGGCTTACTCTCTCGATTCGATTTACGTTTTCCAAATTTTTGCCCTGATCATATATAACTCAACCTTAATCATTTGACGTTTTTTTGACGTCATTCAGCTTTAATGGTGTCGCTGACACGATGACTTGATAGTCTTTCGCGGCTCCTCGTTAATTGCAGTCGAAACATTATGTGTCTGTTGTTTTCTTTTGCCTTGATTTACTATGCTTGTGTTGTTCATAATGTTTCTTGCACGACGAAAATAAATTATCTGAATCTGAATCTTGGTGGGCTGGCAATGGCAAAAAGGAAATTTGTGATTCTGGGTGACTTTAATATCAACCTACTTAACACCCATGATAAATCCACCACCAACTATTTAGATATGCTGACGTCCTATTTCGTATTTCCATTGATCACAAAACCTACTCGAGTCACGCCATCCTCCCAAACCCTCATCGATCATATTTATACAAACGCCATAAACCATTGTTCTTCATCCCTTATTTTACTTAGCGATCTCACCGACCACTTTCCAGTAATGTGTACAATTTCGGATATGAATATTGGCACAAAAACAAAGATCCGAATGAAGCGAGATATGACTAAATTTTGTAACGACTCTTCTAGATCTGAAATTGAATTAATGTGTAATAATTACATGAGTGTTACTCTTACTAGAAAAAATTTCAATAGCTCTTTTGATGATTTCCTGGGTCAAATGAAATGGTTAATAAACAAACACGCTCCATTAAGACCCCTATCACGAAGAGAAAATAAATTATACTCCAAACCGTGGATCACTAAGGGAATTCGCAAGTCCATCATTCACAAAAATCATATGTTCAAAAAAAATTTTTTGAAAGGTAATACACTTCAGCGTCTCCACTTCAAAAAATATAAAAATATCTCAATGCACTTGCAGAGAAAATCGAAACAACTGCATTATCGCTATGCCCTCGAGAATAACCGGGGAGATATCAAACAAACTTGGAAAACTGTTAACGAGATCATTAAGACTAAGTCCAGAGATGATACATCCATCTCAGAATTGAAACTCGAAAATGGTACCACAGTGACAGACCCCATCATGATGGCCAGTGAATTTAATGAATTCTTCTCAACGGTAGGAAAGAAACTTGCGAATAACATCCCTGGTAGCTCTAACCCTTCTACCGATTTTTTGGGTGTTCCGCTGCAAAACACCTTTTTCCTGGAGCCAACGACACATACAGAGATTCTTCAAACCATATTGAACCTGAAAAATGGAAAAGCAGTTGGCCCAGATGGTATTCCAACTTACTTTCTAAAACAAGTCGCTGATATCACATCGCCAACTCTGTGTCATTTTTTCAACTCATCTTTTAAATTAGGTATTTTTCCTTCATCGTTAAAGATTGCCAGAGTGAAACCAATATTTAAAATGGCAAAAGAAATGACCCGTCAAATTACCGACCAATTTCCATTTTACCCTCCCTAGGCATCATTTTAGAAAAATTAATTCATAGTCGAATGCTGAATTTTTGTAAAAAATTTAACTTGATCAATAAATGTCAATTTGGATTCCAAAGCAATCACTCGACCAGCCACGCTATCTTGGACTTAACTTCATTTATTTATGATAAACTTGACAAAGGGGAATTCGTCTGTTGTACTTTCTTAGATCTGAAAAAAGCTTTTGATACTGTCGACCATGCAATTCTTTCTCAAAAACTTAGATATTTTGGCTTTCGAGGTGTCGCAGGCAAGTTATTAAATGATTACCTGTCCGGACGTTATCAATATGTGGAGTTAGATTCTCACAGGTCTTCGTTATTACCCATCCATTACGGAATTCCACAAGGTAGCGTATTAGGACCTTTGAATTTTTTAATCTTCATAAACGATCTTTCAAATTGTTCAAATTTCTTGAGCAAACTCTTCGCCGATGATGCCTGTCTGCTCGACAGTGCAAAGAATCTAATCTCACTGCAAGCCGAGGTGAACACTGAAATTAACAAAGTGTATAATTGGATGGTATGCAATAAACTTACTGTGAATGTTAAAAAATCTAAAGTTATGTTGTTTGGTCCTAAAACTCGAACCAGACATGAAAACTTTTCAATTAAAATCAGGGGTGTCACACTCGAAATTGTCCACTCTTTCAAATATCTTGGGCTTCTTATTGACGACAAACTAAATTGGAACACTCATACTACTGAACTGCATAATAGACTGTCAAGAGCAGTTGGAATCCTGGGTAAGCTCAGACATTACGTCCAGGACTCAACTCTCCGAACCATATACTTCGCACTTTTCCAGTCTCCTATACAGTATGCTATAACTGCATGGGGCTCCGCCACCCAATCAGCGTTGCACAGTTTGGAAGTTTTACAAAATAGAGCAGTTAGAATTCTCTCTAGAGCACCCATTCGATCTAACTTAAACACCCTATACTATAAGACCAGGGTGTTAAAATTAGCCGATATCTATCAACTAGAGATTTCCAAGGTCATGCATCAGTTTCATAGCAACCATTTGCCCGCTGCTTTCGACAATTATTTTGTTTCGCTCAGCAAAGTGCATGATCATAACACACGTTCTTCGACAAGGTCTAATTTATTTGTACCCAGATTTTCTCTAAGCAAATCCCAAAACTGTGGTGTGTGGTAACTTGGAATAATATTCCCTTAAACTTACGTAACTGTAGTTATGACACTTTCAAATTCAAATACAAAAAATTCATGCGCTCCCTTTACCTTTCCACTGCCTCTACATCCAGTTGATGTTGTCCCAGCAAATCTTTTCGTCATTGCCAGCTCATCATTTGTCTCGATCCAAATCACCTGTAACAAAACAATGTCTCGTGTAAATATTCGTATTGTATTTTAGCTTATAATTTTAATTGTGTATTCCATACTGATGGGCACAAGCCACTTGACAAGTATTTCTGTCACCAACACATTGTGGGTTGAGGTAAAGCCAAAAATTATATTACTAAAATTATATAACAAAAAAATATTGCAGGCTTTTTGCCCTACTATTGAGCCCGCTCCTCAATGATCTTGGTCTCCTATTTAGTGTGTAATTTCTTGATATCTATTCTGTTAACTGCCAATGACAAATTCATGCCTACAGTCCAATGCCCATAAGTACTCTTATTGTTACCATGCCATTTTACATGCCTCAACTGGGATCCAAACTTAATTGGCATCCTTCTGATTACTTTCATTATGGGCAGTCAAGCCTAATGTTGTATTTGTTTTTACTATTTATAATGCTTCGGTAACAGTGATCCAGGTCAATTGTTTTTATCCTTTTGATTAACTTAATTTTTTTTGTAAATTTTCCTAGTCTACTTCTATGGTATGATACTCACTTCATTGTGTTGTATTAATACTGCTGAATATTTCGATGTATATTTTCCTCATGTCTATACAATTCCCGTATGTGAATTTTTGACTCCAGCATCAAAACACTTGTTAGTCCAGGTCAACATTTTAGCTTTTACACTACTAGCTTGTTTCTGCCTCAAAGTGTCAATATTTTGTTATTTGCATACTTGATTGGTACGGTATTCTATACTTTTACAATTTGTGTACTCTTAACATCCAGTTTTATTTCAATCTGGACACTTATATGCACACAATCGACTTGTGTTGCACTTTACCGTAGCCGAACTATTTACCTGCCATGACTAAGGATGCCAAGTATGAGTACTTACAAGTATTCGATTCTTATCCGATTCCTAAATTTTCGATTCCGATTCTCGATTCCTCGACATATTACCGAAAAAATATACCCACCCAAGCAATACCATATGAAATCAAGCAAGACAGCGATGTTCAAATTCTGGACGGACAAGAAGGCCGAAACTAAGTAGTATGGGTATCCAATCTGCCACATGAGACAAAACCGCACAAAAAAAAACAAATCCCTCAGAACCCACAGAGATTTTTAAAATAAATAAACGTTAAAGCCTACTAGCGATATTTATAATATATATATTATATATAGTGAAGTTTGCGGTGTCGTAGCAACTCAACATAGCAGTGAAGCAGTTCATACATATATATATATGAAGAAATTGCCACAAAACGTTACACATTGTTTGCAATCCAATTTTAAAACTCGAGAATCGATTCCGGTGCATCGGAATCGATTCTAGTCGATTCCGCGAAGAATCGATTCTGTAATCGAATCCGGACTCGATTCCGCCATCCCTAGCCATGACCACACTGCAAGTCTGTTTGGTTCACTTAATAATTTCCATGGTTACCTAGACTGTGGTACATGGAGTCGATTTTCTTATTTTTAAACGGCGATTGCTTGGTTTTTACCGGGTCGCCTTGACGCATCGATTGCGTTTCTTTATTTATTTATTAAGTAATATATTTTGTTCGATTTAATTATATTTATCACGTTTTTGTTAGACTTCCCCGAGGGTGCCGCCGCTCGATAACCAGAATTGGTTTTCGGCGTCTCCTTTCACCCTGGAATGCGGTCTTTTATATTTCCTTTATTTGTGTATGTATAATTCGTACTTTCAGCTTGGTGAAGAAATAAATTACTGATTACTCATAGCTGTTTACTGGCGCACAACGTTCCGCCATGATTGTATAGGATTCCAATGATGGCCAGTACTTTGCTCAGACATGGGTCAATAAAAGCGGGCGTAAACGAAATTAGTTTTAAAATGCAGTCGTAAACAAACCTAAAGGCGGACGTATGTGAACTTTTTCTCCATGTAAATAGGAGTCGATGGTTTTTCAAATTAACAGCGATTACTTGTATATATCGCATATATTATATTCATTTCATTGGCAACTCTCATAAGAAGCCATTTCACGATATTTGATTAGGAAATGATCGAACATTTTATTACAGGCCGTATTCCTGCTATATTATGTATGTACTTGAATATGTTATTGCGGCAGCTTGTTTTCTAGATCGACTTCCTTTTTATTGAATTCATTAGCTATAATCAATAAGAACACAGCGATGTAATAGTTGAAATTGAACAGTGGCATTTTACATTGGGACAGATTTTCAAGCTTGGTTATAAACAATTGCTTGTTTTTATAAAACCGAGTTTATTTGGTAGTTTCAGTAAAGTTTCGAATCAATAGGCTACAATTTTATTTAATTTGCGAGCTTGTAAAGATCATGCAATCATTGGAATAGAAATCGAGGCATGAAACCGTCTACCACATGTACATATCTCATGAAATGGGAGAAATATAATTTAGAATTGAAAAAAATTACAAACTTATTTTAATTTCAGAAATGTAATTAGTAAAATTTGTGATCTAGAATTCCCCTTCTCCATGAATATGTTTTTATTTTTTGTCACAATAAAGTACATTTTAAAGTGCAATCGTCTTTTCCAGGTTCAACAGCAATAAATTCCCACTTGAAACTAAAGAAACAAATTTTCGCTGAAAACCAAAGCAAACCTCCAAATTGACGTGGAATTTGAGAAATGGACAAATTAAATAATTCGTTTAGTTTATTTAATAAAGGTTTGTCACAATGTAAAGTTCAAACATTTGGAATGCATCAAACGTAATCAATTCAAACTATGTGATTAAAAAGACAGAGCGGCGGATCATGCAGTGGATTTTCGAAACAGATAAAAAGTGAAGAATTGAATTCAATGTTAGATGCATGGTAGTAAAGTATTGATTGCATAAATGCAATAAAATATACAGCAAAGATGAAAAAAAATTATTCATCATCGAATATATTGGAAGCAGAAATAAACTTTAATAACCACAACATACATACTTACAGAGATGAATGCAATTTATTGTATAAGTATTTTACAGATAGCACTGGAAAAGGTTTGTTTAAAGCAGGGTCGGCCAACCTTTTTGGCCGAAGGGCCAGATGTGGTTCACTAATAATTGCGCGGGCCACTTGACATGGTAGTTATGAGTTTGGTTAATCTATAGTCTAGTATTGCTACACTGACTACAGATTAATGAAAAAACAAACAATACACTCACATCAAACTTTCACAATTATTAGAACAATAAAACTGTTTCCCAAACATTGACGGGGCGCCTCAAGGGGTTCTTCCCGAAAGTTTCGCCGAAGACAAGCCAAGACGCTTGATCATTTTATCGCAGCTTTTAACAGACCCATGCCTCTAGTCGTACTCTTAATAAAGCTCCACGGTAATTTCATATGACCACTAACTTACCGCAAGTCGCCAAAGATGAAAATTTTCCCGCTATTGTAATTAAAATTTCCGCAATAGAGTTATCAAGCTCATTAACACGACGAGTTATTGTCTGTCGTGACAAGGTTATTTTTGCAAACACCTCTTTTATTTCCGGACGTAAAACATTGGCAATCCGAACAATATATAATATACATTTCTTAACGAATTCTCTATCTGAGAATGGCTTCGATTGTTTTGCGATAAAATCATATAGAGTAGTGAAAGACCATGGATAGCAATGGTGGCACCTTTATGTATCGATATCTCCTCTCAGTTGGTTTCGATTCAAAATGACATTCATGGCTCGTTTGTAAGGGCTGGCAGAGCTCATTTCAGGGAAATAATAGGCCTACTACATCACTCGAAAAATTGTTTTACTCAATTTTTTTTATTCAACTCTGAAATTCAGCGCGGGCCACTCGAAATGCTTCCGCCGGGCCATATGTGGGCCACGGGTTGGACGACCCTGGTTTAAAGTAAAACTATATCGAATATATTATATTTTGCGGAAAAGGCATCTGCTAATTTATGAATTGCAATTCATTCACGGATTTTGATTAGGAAATGATAAGTGAATTCAATTGAAGAAGAAACCGCTTGAAGAATGCACAAGACAATATATCATACCCAGATAATATCGAATTGCCTTAAAAACTGAATAGGAATAATAAATCAATTTGATTTTTACTGGCCACTGGCTATATATAACACTCGCTTTCAATGATCTATAATATTGGTGACAAATTTTACATAACAAGGATATCGAATCCCACTCCAATTTGCCAAAAATTAACTTTAAATGATAAGCAAGCTAAATCAGGGCTGAGGAGTCGAGGCCAATGTAAGATTTATGAACTCTGTTTTCCTGTCGTTGAGAGCAAGAGTCGAAATGTTCATCAACCAAGAATCGTTTTTTAAATGGGTGTCAATTCTGTCCGACTACACACTGTTATAATCAGAATTCTCATAGAAATGCTACAAACAATTATAAAGTGTTGAATACAATCAAACCATTTCAAAGAAATTTTCTACATAAGTAGTAAACATAGCTATGTCCAATGAGTTAAAGTTGCTGGGCAAAGCCATTGAGCAATTAGATTCAAGGAAACTATATAAATTATTTACAGTAAGTAATGTAGGAATTCATTATAGAAGTATACAAAATTCCCTCAGTGATAACACAAGCGCCCATTGAATGTCATATATCTATTATACAATTTCATAATAGTAAGAATGTAAACATAAACTACTAGTATGTCCTTTAATGGTAACTAACTATTCTCTGTCATGTACAATCAAATCACTTCAAATTAATCTTCACTGCATAGAGTATATTCAGTCTCATGTTCTTCATGTCAATCATCTCCCATTGATTCTTCTTGAAATCAAACTTCTCCATGCTTTCTGGTGAACTGAAAAAAACATATTATTTTAGTTCTACAAGACAAATGATTCCATAGTAACTCGAGATATGAAAAAAGTAAAAATGACCGAATGCCGCAGATGGGGACCTCTGAGAAGATATTTAATTTCTACAAGACGAATGGTTCGTGAAGTGATTGTTAGACTACTCAGGTAAACGGTTTTCAATATCTTATGTTAACTCAATCATATATGCAAAAAGTACGAATGACCGGATACTACAGGTGAAAGACTGATTCAAAATACCTAGACAGCAATATGAATATACTGCTTCTTCTATGGGCACAAAGAGTTGAGATCAAACCAACAGCGAATATTGATCCAAAGCCATGAATATATTCACAAAAAATATAAAGATTTCTGTTTAGACTGGCCATATGCTTGTAGTGATGGATACAGGGTAACAAATATTTCTTTACAAATAAGTATTTCGGAACAAAATCTCCCGAAACAGAAGACACTAGTGCCCATTTTATTGTGATGAATTTCAATGATCTTACCTATGCATTCCTCCAACTGCATAAATATTTGAATCAATCACGAAAGCCCGGAACAAGCTACGTTCAGTTAACATGGGAGTTACCGTGGACCACACGGTCGTTGAAATATCATATCGTTCAACAGTTGTCAAGTGATCGTTTGTCCATCCACCTGAATGAAATAAACAGTTTGTTAATGTCTGCTTGCAATTTTGTCTGAATGATACAAAACAATGTATATCCATCTATTGACAATTTCACCTACACAAGACAATAAATGAATAAAGAGGGAATAGTGAACTAACATGTTGGCAGGTAACAACTGCAAGGTGATAAATATAATGCGGAAAATTCAACTAGCCTGAACTGAAGATTTTGGAACCCGGTATGAATGTCAGAATATCACTCCGATTTCCAACCCTAACTAGTTCATATTTCTAGTAAGAAGTACGCAACAGTACCAAATGTAATTATGAGTTTACAGTTTACACGGCAATCGGATTGACCTTTGCATTCGTGTAAGTATATAGGTATACAAACATTTGAACATGATTTGTCACATCACAATATAATTCTGCGATCTTGCAGAATAACTTTAATGGAATATTAGTAGTTCATGACGAAGCACGGTCATTGAAATTTTCTGGTTAATTGCTATTTTAAGTGAAACTAAATATTTTTTTCTTGAGGTTCGAACATTTTTAGCAACAAACACAAACCTACCTAGAACATATATTTTTCCTTCAGTTTCAACAGCTGCGACATATTGCTTTGCTTCATTCATGGATGCAACAAATGACCAAGTTGATGATGTTGGGTCAAATCTTTCTACTTTGTTGGTGTGCTGACATGATACTACTCCACCAATGCTGTATATACAACCTAGAATTATACAAGGATTATTATTTTCAAGTGTTTTCTGCATTCTGGTATTCGATGAAAACTTAGGACAAACTGATAAATCCGATATCTGTTGGCAGTCATTTTTTATTTACCGTAAGTGTATTGCAAGTTTGCTGCAAAAAAAACACTTTGTGAAAGCAACCACTGATACGCAACGACCTAGTGGTCTGTTAAAGACGGTATTTTTTCTTGTTTGGTTTAGACAACAGGCAAAGCTATTTGGTGTCCGCAAAGCTATCTAGTGTGGCCCTTGTCAACAGATTTTTCCCCATCAAGAGTTGATCCGACAGTATATGTTTAAATAGTCGCCCACATGGGTAAAATTACATGTTTTTATGTTCTTTTCGATGCGTTTAATTCTCCACCGTTTTGCCCGATGGCTTTATTACTTACTCTAAAGCAGAACATTTATTAGTCCAGCTAGATTTCTGAAGTTGGTTATATGGCCCAGCGACAATTCCATTTATTACCTATTGTATGACTGCCTGTTTCGAGCCAGTTCAATGTATATGACATTTATTGGCGCTCCCGAAGTATGTGAACCACGATGGCGGACACCGGAACTTAGTATGTGTACCAGGTTACGGTTAGGCCATAATTTATTCCAATTTTCCCTATTTTAGTTCTATTATTCGAGGACACAGGATAGGATTTACATATTTATCCCGGAGGAGAGTAAAGTCGATAAGACGGCTTAATCATATGGCGAACCACGGCTTCTCGTCCGGTTACCAGTCCATGTCGGGTACCGTTATGGGATTAGTTTTAATTATTTGTTTTCGGAAGCATGGACTTGACTTGATGGTGGACGAAGCCGTAACCGACCAGCGGTTACGTGAACCACCCTACGGCGGCGAGGAGTCCAGCAATTCTCTCGCACATGATCATCCCCGCATGGAATTCGAACCTGCGATCACATGATAGGTAACCAGAGATGCGGTGGCTATCCAAGCATTTGTACCTGAAATTATGGCCTAACCCAATCTGGTACACATACTACGTTCCGGTGTCCGCCATCTTGATTCACATATTTCGGGAGTACCCATTTATTTATTAGACAACACCTTCTAACCTCCAGCACCCAGTGCTGTTGAATTTGCACTGTTGAGATTTTTGTCTTTTACTTTTTCCCATTTGTTGCTTGATGGCTCGAACATTTCAACTGATTTTGAGTAATTGGGAGAACCAACAATGTAGAGGTTTCCTGTAAACAATTCACATCTAAGACATATGGTAGAAAGCAAATGATACTCGAAACACAATAAAATATAAAGCAAAGAACTATTTGTCTTAAGGCAAACCAAACGTTACTCGTGGTATTTATACAAATATAAACCATATCATAATAATAGATAAGACAATAGAAATGGAAGACAAAACATTACCCAAAAATAAAAGTTTTCATGGAATATATACAAACACAAATAAACTAGTAATCTTAAAACAGGAGTGTTAGTGTATTGTATAACAGACTCAAGTCTTTTCAATTCCGGATCTGCGTGTTTTAACAAAGTAACTTTATCCTAATTATTTTGGCAATTTTTTTCTTGGCATTTACCCTTGTTTTGCCTGAACTGAAATCTTATGAAACCACAACGATTTCTTACACAGATAGATTGTGTTATAATTCTTCAATGGTGTTAATATGAAAATATAATTTGTGTTTGTACACTTTCATTAAGTGACAAGTTTTACGAATCAGAAAAAAATTATCAGTATTTTGTGCACAAAGCGCTCAGAAGAATTTTGGGTCACCCACAATGAAGTGATATAGTTACAATACAAGGCTGAACTGGAATTAGATACCAAATGCTATTAAAATATGTTTTTCAATAAATTCTTAAACAGACCAGTACTAAGAATTCTTGAGATAACTTCACTCCAAACAGACAGCAACAAGCTATTTGAAAAACTCAATTACTAGTCCAAGATAATGTTTAGCAAAAGATTTTTGAAGCAATTCTTACCAGACAAAACAGTAATAGGAGGACAAGACCCATGGTCATACATCATATCATTCATTCTCTCCCAAGTAGCTTCACGATCTGAGTATTTCAGTCGATGAACAGATCGATCAATCATGAGAACATAAATGTAGTCACCAAGAGCCACAGCAGAAAAGTCAGTTTCTGATCCAGTCATGTTCTGGAAAATTTCAATAAACAATATTGTATTGATGAAATCGTTGTCAAATGTAGATACGGATGAATGGATGTGGTGGGATGAGAGAATCTAATCCCATTCGAATATTCGTCCTAGAAATGCCTTGTCCACAGATGGCACTTCATGCCAAGCGTTAGGAATACGCTCTCCACCTCATCTCTGATTATCCTGCGTGGGGTCGTCGGTTAAAATTCCATGACAGGATGGTTATGTGCAGGAGAATTGCTGGACTCATGGCCGATGTAGGGTGGTTCACGTTACCGCTGGTCGGTAACGGCTTCCTCCACTTACTAATCCCAGCCCGACATGGACCGGTAAACAGACAAGGCGCCATGGTTATCCATATGATTAAGCCGTCTTATCGGCTTTCCTCTTCCTTGGGATAAATATGTAAATCCTATATTACATACGTACAAGTCAGGTATCTGACTTTAAATTTATCCCGAGAAAGGGAAAATCAAAAGCTGATAAGATGGCCAAGAACAGTCGAAATAAAATAAGTAACGCATCAATACAACATGTGGAACTACCACAACCATATCTTTCAATCCAATCGCATAAAAACACAAGCTTTGAGCATTACTTTTTACCATCTGAAGTAATAATGGGAACTAATGAATATTTTCTGTGTACAGTACGATTAGACAGAGATACAAGAGTTGAAGGTTGTCAAATACTAACCTGCATTTTTGTCCAAGAACTATTCCGAGGATCAAAGCATTGTAGGCTCTTTGAATTACAATCAAACACTGCAACTGTAAAAAATAAAGTTTGTATCAGAAAGGAAAAGCAAAAATAACATCGTTCGAACCAGAACCTATCCCCAAATGAGTAAGTTTCAGATGACAAATGGTATTCTATATTTTCTACATCTTAATTCAACGTACTTGCTTCTTTTCCTTCTTGTTTTATATTCTCAGCAGAGTGAACATCTGAAGCACCAACGTTTAAGCTGTCCATCACAGATATGAGTAGAGTGTGAGAGCATTCAGGACAAGACTTTACCATTGGCTGAAACAAAGTACAGTATGTTATGTGTAAATAATGAATACTAAATGATGCAGGAGAAGGAAATTTATGCCGCGGGAATAGTAGGTCTGGGAATAGTTTACCGCGGCCCTAGGTTGAAGAACTTGAAACACTCAAGCTCCGAACTTTGAGAAAACCAAATTTATACAAAAAAGAATCTTTGGCACATGCGAGATTTTTTTGTTGCTTTGGCTTTCAGTTTGAAAATACAGGGTAATAAAATATTCCAAACTCCTATCCCAAGGCCCCGTTTATTAGTCAGATTAAATCCAAATAACATATTTACAATCATTAACATGTTGCAAAAATAAATAGTTTCAAAATATCATCAATTTGAAAAATACCCGACCTCGTTTTCAACGAGGAATCTTCTATAAGTCACTGGTACTTTATGCAAATCAACGTAGTTGTCCAATTTTTTCAGAAGTTTTTTGCGATTTCTTTGCTCGTATTTTATCCAAGATATCAAACCTTTTAGCTTGACACTCTCTGATGCCTAGGAATACAGAATATGTCAAACATTAAAATTCACTTGTATCTATTAATTTACAGGAAAAACACTTAGGATTCATGCTGTAATCCAAGACATTAGGATGCTTAAATTCCTAGCTTGAATATTGGTTGGATAAAAAAGCAATTGGTTAGCAGGCTGAACAAGAAATTCAAGGGTGAGAACTTATTTGTTCATTCCGATCATACAGTCTTCACCGGAGTGAGAATGAGGTAGAAATACAGTTGGCGACTTGGGAAATTTACCATGGGAAATTTACTTTGATCAGTATAAACCTAAAACCTTATCTCAACGAAATGATTTGTGAAACAAACCTAACGAAACACTAAAAACACCTTGTTCTCTTGTGACTTGATCAATCTAACAAATTCCTTTTCCTCTATTGCCTTGAACTCATCAAGAACCGCAATTTCTTCAAATTTATCCAGCATGAACTTCTCGCATTTTTGCATCAATTCTTTGTAATTGTACAGGTTTGCGATTCTTTTTGTCACAAAGAATGATTCTGCAGATGATTCAAGATTTTCTTCAAGTGAATCAACAATTCCTTCACAGACATCTGTTATCAGAAAACAAACATGGTGTATTGTATGTAACTAATAAACTTTCATCCATGGGCAATCAAACATCTATTTCGATTTGCCCCCACAACACTTCATACATAAATTTTATTATTCTGTAACCTCTACTTGCAATGTAGAGTGATACGAAGTGGCCAAAAAACAGAACCCAGGACATTCGGGACATATTCTAGACCTAGAGTGCAAATAACTGTTGTGCAAAGCGTCCTAGAAACTTCTGGATGGGATCATAGATAGAAGTCGAGTGTTGAAATTTTTAACTTTCGTGAAAGTAATTTATGTATTCGTTTTTTGGGGGGCGGTCATCATGTTTGATTTGGAGTGAAACTTAGGAAGTGATGACATAGCAGATTAATTGAAAACCGGAATAAAATCAGCAGCCAACAGGTTTTCTATTTCAAAGAAACTAGCCAGGAAAACTATAGAAATTCAGGCCCATGCAAACCAAATAGTTCCATTTGAGGGGAGATTGTCTAGTTCATTTGAATCACAGAATATTGAGTGAATCTGATGAATACAATCAGCAGCAAACAGGTTTTCTATTTAGTGAGAAACTATCCAGGATAACTATAGAAATACAGGCCAATGCAAACCAAATAGCTCCATTTGTGGGGAGATTGTCTAGTTAATTTGAATCACAGAATATTGAGTGAATCTTGGTAGAATCTAGGAGAAAATTTTTTTATCATCACCTTTCAACTGCAGTAATTCAGCCACAAACATCAAAGACTCAGCATTTTCATCAGTAGTAGATAATTCACCAGTGTAAATGTATTCTATGCATTGTTGCAGGGATAAAGGATCAACTTCTTTCATTTCCACTTTACCAGACGCTGTCTCAGCATTCTGAAGTGTGATAATACATAAGATGTTTTGAGAAAAATATTATCAAACAGGATTGTCTGCCATGACAGACTGATTAGTTGGAAAATTCAACTTTAACAAGGATAAAGCGGGCTATTTTTTATTTTAACTTGTTAAAAATATAATTGAAGGGTAATAATTATTTCATACACTGAATCTGATGAGTTGTCTGTTGAGTGAGGCAATAACAGCACCAAGTCCAAATTATTCCTTTACCGTGCAGGTCCGACACCGGTTTAGTTGGCTTCAATTTGCAATTGAGCATTGAATACACACACTCAGCATTGGGAACACGCCTGCAATAGCGCCTCTGATCACACTCAGATTTTCGCATGATAAACACTACGGGAAATAGAATAAACTGTCCGTCTCTGTAAGTTGTTTCTCGTAACCATTGGTCACTTACAACTCCCTTCACCAACAAGCCAATGTATCTCAATGGACCAAACTATTCCAATACCCAGCATGAACTGAACAAAACCCTGTGCCATATGATACAGTGTGGCCAGGTATCCTCTCCCAGATGAATATCCTGTTCTATACAGGATGGTATTTTACAAATTCATCCCGGGAGAGAGGGAAGGCGATAAGGCGGCTTAACCATATGGCGAACAACGGCATCCCGTATGGTTACCATTCTTTGTTGGGTATGAGACTAGTTAGTTATTTATTTTCGGAAGCATGGACTTGATGGTAGAGGAAGCCCTAACCGACCAGTGGTGACGTGAACCAACCTACGCAGCGGGAGCCAAGCTATCCTCTCACACATAACCATACCCGCATGGGATTCGAACTTGCGAACCCGCGCAGAGTAATCAGAGATGCTGTGGCGAGCGCTTTCTTAACGCTTAGAACGATGAGCCACACCGCCGCGCATATATATGGGTGGGGCAGTGTTGCTCATTTTGTTAAGCGTTAGGAATAGGCTAGCCACCTCTGATTACTCTGCGTAGGTTCGAATCCCCCGGGATAAATATGTAAATCTTATTCTATGATTGAAAGCAAGCTGCAATCAGTTACATGATTGGTAGGCGAAAAAATCCCTGACATACCAAGAATTTGAACTTGCAACCTTGCTCAGAACAATCAGTGTTTACAATGCCTAACCAATCAGTAAATGGTTGAGATATCACATAAACAACAAGCAAATATAAACTCACATTATGAGCCAGCATTGCTCTGAAATAATCAGATCCTACAGATATGATATTCTTATGAACTGGGATTTCTTCAGAGCCAGCTATGATCATAAAATCACAATGATCTCGAGTTTCCTTTCTGCTTCTGCAAAAATATATTTTACATCAGAATGGTGCGAGCTATTCTGCACATAAAATTCCAGTGAAAATACCAGAATTTGAGTTTGTTTTTTGGTTTGAGGGGTACGTACACTCGTAATTTTTTCAGAGTGAACACTAAAAACAATTTTTTTTTTTAATTTTCCCTTATTTGCGATGCACTTACATACTACGGATGGGCCGAGATTCGGATTTGAGTCAAATCCAGGCATTTTGTGGACTCGGATTCGATTTCGAGTCCACGTCGTTTTTACCGAAGTTATAATCAATTTTGTTTTTACTAATTTACGCCTATGTTTGTACTTTTACCCCTATGAATCTCACTACATGCCTTAAATAGTTGAAATTCAAGTTTAGATATGTAACAATATCACTCGCGTGTATTATAAGCACTCCTAATGAAAACGACAACAGACATCTAGATAATATAACGCAAGTTAAAAACAATTGATAGCTTATAACAATGATGCACCAGTCGCCTTTAAACTATCTATTCTTTTTGGTATACATGTGGTACACAATAAAACATGTGTTAGCGCAATATTTTTGAGTTTTCGATTCGCGTAAATAAATATGAAACATGCGCAGGATCAACCCAATGGAGAATCTCATAAATACCTCTTTTAAATCGAGTTTATCATGTGCAATCCTTTCTCTATAAAGGGAGCAATGGAAAGCATGGAGCGTTTTAGAATGTTTACATGAACTACTAAATTGTAAGCATTGTATTGACCACGAGTGGCATCTTTCTACAATTTGCGAACGCGACATAGTATATTTAGGGCTAGAAATATCTGGAATTACGGGAAAGCATTGTAGTCAAAAGCTTCTTACTTTTCATATTGACATGTAAGAATTTCTAAATAGCCGACCAGAATTGACGCAGTGGGGTGGGCTGGAAATTCAGTTCACAGCCAAGGCGCACATTGACCCACATTCACGTTTGTATTATGGCCGCCAAAAAAGAAGAAAAATATATTTTTAAATTGATTCAACAGCTATCTGCGAAACCGTTAGGCAAAAAATATGAGCTACGACGTATGTTTGTGAGTGCACAATGCTGTAGTATGGTCAAAAACGAGTTTTCTACTTTTACATTGTGACGTCACGGACTCGGAGGATTCGATTCGAGTCCTTGACCTATTACTCGGATTCGTCGAATCTCTGTAATGCCGGACTCGTCTCATCCCTAATACATACTCATTATTTAGTGAACAACAGAAACCAGATTTTGCAGTTCATTTTTTAGCTAGTGAGGAAAGCATGCACTCCTAATCTTTCTAAGGTGAACACTTAAATCCACGTATCCACCACAGTATCATGTCAATTTACAACTGACTCTAGCTCCAAACAAAAAAAATCAGTTTTCATAACAAAAACTTGCGCATGCGAGCTTTCTATTCTTTCAGTTAGCACAATTCAAGCTTTTCATTTAATGGAAAGTTTTGACTTTTTTTAATTTCTGGCTTGTGAGAATCCCATACGCCTATAATTTAGTTAGAGTAAACACTGTTAAACCTTGCACCCCTCACTTAACCCAGGAATCATCTCTGAGTAAAGTTCGTGACACTCACTCAGAAAGTAGACTCATCTCTGAGTAAAGTTGCTGACAGTCACTCGATAGTAAAGGAGACTCATCTTTGAGTAAAGTTACTAGCACTCACTCAGAAGTAAAAGAGACTCATCTCTGAGTAAAGTCACAGGCACTCTCACTCAGATGTAAAGAAGACTCATCTCTGAGTAAAATCATGGGTAGGGCTGTCCAAGCAAACCGAATATTCGAAATCGAATCGGATCGCAAAATATTCGAATCGTTTTTTTGGCTAATTTGCGAAATACTAAAATTAGCTACATAAAGCATATCCTCACGACCATCTTTTGTTTAGCACATTGTTTTTTTGATCGGGCAAGCGGCGGCACCTAAAGTTTCCTGATATTTCTCTTGCCTTCATTTTGCGATAAAAAGGGATCTCTCCTAATGCCGATGGCATGTGAATAGCCATATCATGCATGGTCATAACTGACAAGTTATTGTCGGCAATATCTGTTTTCAGAGTGTACACAAGGGGAAAAGGCAATTTAGTATCCACAGAAAACGATAGTTCAATAAATAGAATCAATTTAAACATGTCAAGTCAGTAATCATAGCAACATGGTACTGCTTACTCACAGCTGAAGCATGTATTGTGGGGGTTTTATGGTGGCAATACTTAGTATTTACCATCTATTAACAAGACAAATAACTGCACTCTTGCATCCTGATAGCTGTGTACAGTAACAATATGTTCATTAAAAAATATTGTCATCATCAAACTAGCTGCAATTTATATACTCTGGAAATATAGGCGCGGCGGTGTGGCTCAACGGGCTAAGCGTTAGGAATACGCTCGCCACCGCACCTCTGATTGCTCTGCGTGGGTTCGCAGGTTCAAATCCCATGCAGGGATGGTTATGTGCGGGAAGATTGCTGGACTCCTCGTCGTCGTTGGTTGGTTCACGTAACCGCTTGTTGGTTAAGGCTTCTTCCACCACCAAGTCCATGCTTCCGAAAACAAACAATATAACTAATCCCATACCCGACTTGGAATGGTAACCGGACAAGAAGCCGTGGTTCACCATATGGATAAGCAGTCTTATCGGCTCTCCTCTCCCCCGGGATAAATATGTAAATCCTATCCTATCCTATAGTCATGCAATATATGAGCAGTATTTTAAATGTATCACATACATTATTACAATATCAAAAAAGGAGTATTTTTGTTACAATAGAGATTTGGGATTGCGCAATAATATTAGATTATTCGGTTCAATTCGACAAAATTATTCGATTTGAATAAACAATTATTCAATTTTGGACAGCCTGTAAAGTTATGAACACTCACTCGGATATAAAAAGAGTCTTCTCTGAGTAAAGTCATTGACACTAACTCAGATGTAAAAAAGACTCATCTCTGAGTAAAGTCATGAACACTCACTCAGATTTAAAGAAGACTTATCTCTGAGTAGAGTCATGAGCCCCCACTCAGTAAAGAGAAGAATCATCTCTTTGTAAAGTCACAGGCACTCACTCAAAGATAAAGAAGACTTAACTCTGAGTAAAGAGAAGAATCATCTCTTTGTAAAGTCACAGGCACTCACTCAAAGATAAATAAGACTTAACTCTCAGTAAAGAGAAGAATCATCTCTTTGTAAAGTCACAGGCACTCACTCAAAGATAAAGAAGACTTAACTCTGAGTAAAGTTATGGACCCGCACTCAGATAGAAAAATAAACTCATATCTGAGTAAAGTCATGGGTACTCACTCAGATATAAAAGACTCATATCTGAGTAAATTCATGGGCACTCACTCAGAGCCGAACCAGTGTGAACCTTACACGTCCAAAATAGTTTTGTGTATGTTCGGGAAGGAGTTCGGGAACCATGTTTGTGAAGAATAAGTTGAGTCACCCCATAAAAATGTTGAAATATAGATCCAAGTGGTTAACCAGTAGAGAGCTTTTTCAAGTCCCTATACTATTTAAAATGAGTACCTACTCATTTAGTCAGATGTAAAGGAGACTCATCTCTGAGTAAAGTTATGGACACTCCAGTAGAGAGTAACCAGTAGAGAGCTTTTTCAAGTCCCTATACTATTTAAAATGAGTACCGGTACCGGTACTTTACTCAGAGATGAGTCTCCTTTACATCTGACTTAATGAGTAGGTACTCATTTTAAATAGTATAGGGACTTGAAAAAGCTCTCTACTGGTTACTCTCTACTGGAGTGTCCATAACTTTACTCAGAGATGACTCTACTCGGATGTAAAGAAGACTCTTTTTTTAATAAAGTCACGGGCACTCACTCAAAGATAAGGAAGACTTATCTCTGAGTAAAGTTATGGATACTCACTCAGATTTAAAGAAGACTCATCTCTGGAGTAGAGTCACAAGCACTCACTCAGATGTAGAGGAGAATCATCTCTGAGTAAAGTCACAGGCACTCACTCAGTTGTGAAAGAAGACTCATTTCTGCGTAAAGTCCTACAGCGATATTATGCTATTGTTTGCCAACCACGAAGCGATAACAGTAAAGGATTTAGCGAATATTTCTATTTTTTATCACGGTTTGAAGTTTCAACTCCCAAGAAAAAAAATGCCTTTTTTCTATCCGGTTTGTGACTCAGACCACACTTTTAAAAAAGACATTTTTTATTCGCCAATTGCAAGCTCTTTAAATAAGCTTTCCAACGAGCCATCATTGGGCAGCAGAGGATCATTAGTTTTTCGTTAGTCGATCGATTAGTTGTGGGGGTACAAATGCATAAAATCGGCGTAGCAAAGACGATTATTTAATAAAAAATAAAAATCGCATGGAAAGGGTTAATCCTCAGGACAGAGCTATTTTAAGCCAAGCGAACAATTCTAGCGTGGGCCGGTGCCCATGGACAAAATGTATATACATTAAAAATCACGAAAACAAGGAAAAGCTTTTTGAGTTAAATGGGTACTCTACCAGCCCCAAGATGGCAGACACCGAAATGTTGTATGTTTACCAGGTTAAGTTTAGGCCATAATTTCAAGGACAAATACTACGAAGTCACTTGGCTAGTCCCCCAAACTTGTAATAGAACTAAAATAATGAAATTGAAATAAAATTATGGCCTGATTCTAACCTGGCACATATACAACATTTGAGTGTCCGTCGTCCTGGTGTACATCCTTCTGGAGCGCCGCTAAATGTGTACGTACATTATTCGCAATGTAATAACATTGAGTTGTTGTAATATTTCACAAAGTTTGTAAATCATTCAGAACTTTGCTCAGCCTTAAAATATTCATGTTCACTAAAACTAACAATTGCGCATCGTAATATTTTCTTAGAGTGAACACTGTTAATAATGTGTGCATAAATAGGTATTATAGTAAAAATACAGAACTAAAACAAATACAAAGCATAATTTCTCCATAAAAATGACAATACCCCTCCTCCATAGAAAATATTTCATTCACGGTTGGAAACATAGCTTTAACCACATTGTTTTAGGCATCCCTGAAAAACACTCACCTGTTCAAGTCTTGTAAAATCCTATTTGCATGTCCATTAGTCTTCACTTTAATTTCGAGAGGCATTTTACTGATATTTCTAACTAATGACTATGTAATTTAAAGCTAAATAAATCAGTTATAAAATGCCATGTAGAATTTGTCATAGGTATTCAGAAGACAATTTAAATTTCTCTCAAACGTATGTCTCATTTTTTATCAGAAAATTAAACACAGTTATAGGGAACATTAAAAATCGAGGGGTAAAAATTCAAACAAATGCTTCAGAAGGGCTTACCAACATTTCAGAATGGGTATTTAGGACTATGTGGGTTAATAGCACTGTTTCTCAATCTATGGCCGCGACCTGAAAACTGACTTGACCAACATGATTAACTATTTATTCGGCGCTCCAGAATTATGTGAACCAATATGACGGACACCGAAACGTAGTATGTGTACCAGGTTAGGCCCTACTTTCATTTCAATTTCCTTTATTTTAGTTCTACTACAAGTTCGGTGACTAGCCAAGTGACTCCCGTAGTATTCGTACCTGAAATTATGTCCTAACCCTAACCAGGTACACATGTTACGTTGTAAACGTACGTTTGTCGTATATTTTGCCACTGTATGCAGTGCATCGTGCTCTGCCTTGCATCCAATCATTGTAGACTCATTATTACCCTTTATTTGTAGCGTAAATTAGTATTATTATCTATTGTCTGGTCTAGCGTTTTCCTTTCGGTCATTTGCATCACGTATTCGTCGTGTAAAGTCGCAGATATTTGTCTGTATTGTGGACTGTTTATTTATCTGGTATATATTGTAATTCTATTAGCCTCCCGGATCGGAAAACGTTTGGTGAGAAATTTGCCTTTTGTTGTTGTTATATGCTTTGACTTATGTTAATCAATTTTGTTTTATTTATTTAAGAAAACCGCCGTTCTTCGCCAAGAATATAAAGAAGTGATTTATGCACGTGTCTTGTTTGTGGACAAAGGGGCTGAGAGTGGCGCGTTCGATACGTTTTCATTGTGTCTCGTCGATATAGATTCCGGGCTATCAAAAGACGTGACATAAAAGTTTTCAAACGGGCTTCAAAAATTCAAACGATTTCAAGTCTCCAAACATAATTTGTGAAGTTTTCAATGATATTAACGTTAATACCAAAATTCTCAAGTTTTCAACCAAAGGGTTTCAAACATTAATTCGGGTTCTCAATAATGGCAACCGGTGGTAGGTCGGATGACCAACATCAGGCAATGATTAGCAATGCTCCTGGCAGTTTTAATGAATTTAAAACTCATCTAGATGTTTGCAGGAGTTCCAGTGACGTTAGCGACGTGAGTTCTTCAGCGTCATCGACTTTCTCCGTCCGGAATGCAAGAGTGAAGTTGGAGCTGGCACGCCTAAAGGCCCGTCAAGAAGAAGAACTCTCAGCTTTAGAATACGACTTGCGTAAGCTTCAGACAAGACACGCTTTACAGGCTGCTGAAACAGAATCAAAGGTTTGGGAAATGAGCGATGGCGAATTTTTGCGGTGGGTAACAGTAGATAGAATTAGGCACGACAATAGCGTGAAATCCCGCGATTTCCCACCTAAATCACAGCTCATTGATAACGGTCGTGAAAATACTCCACGGCGTTTGCCGACTTTTCCTACACACACAGCTGATAGTAGCTCAGCTAATCCTGTGCCTCCACGTTTGAACCATGCTTTACATCACAGAACTGTCGATCTACCCAAACCAGAAATTGCAAAATTTTCAGGTGATCCAATGGAATATTATTCCTTTATCCGCAACTTTAAGGCCCATGTTACAGATCTTGTGAATGATGATAACGTACGTCTGAGTTATTTGTTACAGCTGTGCCAGGGCGAAGCGAAAAATGCCATTGATCATTGCTCAATGATGGAACCGAGTCGCGGATATCGCGAAGCTATGAGAGAGCTGAAGAATGAATATGGTAAAGATCATGTCATTTCCCGCACCTGTTTGGACAGGTTGAAGCGTGGTCCGAAGTTGAACTTTGACGACGCGAAAGGTATGCAAGCGTATGCGCGACTGATGCGGAAATGTGGCTTAGTTCTTGAAGAAATCAGTGAGTACGACAATCTTAATAATTTTGACAATTTGCTGGCCATTGTTAAACGATTGCCACCAGAGTCGCAAAACGCTTGGGATTTCAAAGTGGCAACAATTTTAGAAACGGAGGATCGTGAAGCTAGTTACAACGACCTCTCTAAATTTGTCACCGAGCAAGCTAATGTTTCAAGATCAGACTTTCGTTTTGCCCGTAGAGATAGAAGGCAATCAAATTATTATGAAAATTCTAAGGCGAAAGGTAGTGCTTTTGCTATTTCTGCTAGTGGTTCAAATTGGCACTGCCCGTGTTGTAATTTTTCTCACGAATTATTCAACTGTAAGAAATTTAAAGTCCTTTCATGGTACGAACGATATAACGTGGCTAGACGGAATCAATTGTGCTTCAAATGCTTAAGACGAGGGCATATGTTTAGACAGTGCACACATAATGAAAGTTGCCCCATTCACGATTGTAAGTATCCGTTCCATCATGTTTTGTTGCATCGCGATTTCGAGACACCTACACGGCGAGATGGTATTAGTAAACAGACATGTTCCGTCGGTAACTCGATGAACCATGCGGATCACGACGTTCACGCTAATAAATTGGCGCCCGCAAAGCAACAAGGGAACACCGGTGTTTACATGAATATCGTCCCGGTGACAGTAACTGCTGGCAACAGGGCTTTTGATACATACGCTCTTTTGGACTGTGCTCCTACAACCACCATGTGTAGTGTGAAATTGATGAACAAATTAAATCTAACCGGGGTGCCTATAGATGTTACATTGCAAACTGTTGGTAATCGTCCCAAATGTGTTAAAGCAAAGAAGTTGTCCCCTCTACTCGTTAAAGAAATTGACGGACATGACGATTGCATTGAATTGCCCAATGTATTGTGCGTCAGTAACTTGCCCATAAAGCCCAATAAGCTACCCTCGCGCAGTTCCTTGCGTAAGCTATCCTATTTGTCTGATATCGACTTTCCTCGAATACACGACGGTGAAGTGACTTTGCTGATAGGAGCGGATGTTCCCGAAGTGTTTGTGTGGGAGGAATTTAGAAAGGGTCGGAGTCAACAGCCGATTGCGGTGAAAACCCCTCTGGGTTGGTCTCTTATGGGTCCGTCTCTGACCGTCTATGAAAACACTTCCATTAATTTCGTTGATACAAATCCTTTGGCGTCGCAGATTGAGCGACTTTGGCGTACGGATTTTGCTGACGTCCCCAGTATTTGTGACACTAAAACTTCCCGCGAAGATAGAATAGCGCGTAGTTGCATGGAAGACAAACTCAAATTTGTTGATGGACATTACGAGCTACCTTTATTGTGGAAAATCAATCATTGCGAGTTACCATGTAATCAGAAAGTGGCGGAGAATCGCCTTCGTCAGTTAAAGCGACGTCTTTTAAAAGATGACACATTGCACCAAAAATATATTCAGACATTGAATGATTATGTTGATAAAGGATACGCTCGTATAGCTGACAGTCCTAGGTCGCCGAACATCTATCCAACAAAATGGTTATTGCCACATCATCCTGTGATAAACCCAAAGAGCCAGACGACTTCATTGACGCATTGAGACGCTTTACTGGACGCAGAGGTCGTCCTGTTCACATATATTGCGACAATGGAAGCAATTTTGTAGGTGCTTGTCGCGAATTGAAAGAATCAATTAGCAAATGGAACGAGCAAAGTATTGCAAACTATCTGCGTCAACGTGACGTAGAATTTAACTTTAATCCTCCATACGCCAGTCATATGGGTGGCGTTTTTGAAAGAATGATTAAATCAACTAAACGAATTCTATCTGTATTGTTGACAGGTCAATCGATTACTCATGAGAAGTTGGAGACACTACTAGTTGAAGTGGAATCGATACTGAATTCCAGACCGATAACTCCAGTGATAATGGACCACTCAGCTGATGAATGAAGCTAGTTGATGAATCGATTCCTCGCGGTCGATGGACTGTTGGAAGGGTTATAAATACCTTCCCAGACAAACATGGACTCGTCCGCTCAGTGTTGGTGAGAAAAACAAATGTTGGCACAAATGTTGTCAGACGACCCATTACTAAACTATGTCGATTTCTAGAAGACCAAAAATAGTCGATCGAATTATTGTTTCATTTACAACGTTTAATTTTTTAGAATATATCCCCTGGGTCATATATTCGGGTGGGGGTATGTTACGTTGTAAACGTACGTTTGTCGTATATTTTGCCACTGTATGCAGTGCATCGTGCTCTGCCTTGCATCCAATCATTGTAGACTCATTATTACCCTTTATTTGTAGCGTAAATTAGTATTATTATCTATTGTCTGGTCTAGCGTTTTCCTTTCGGTCATTTGCATCACGTATTCGTCGTGTAAAGTCGCAGATATTTGTCTGTATTGTGGACTGTTTATTTATCTGGTATATATTGTAATTCTATTAGCCTCCCGGATCGGAAAACGTTTGGTGAGAAATTTGCCTTTTGTTGTTGTTATATGCTTTGACTTATGTTAATCAATTTTGTTTTATTTATTTAAGAAAACCGCCGTTCTTCGCCAAGAATATAAAGAAGTGATTTATGCACGTGTCTTGTTTGTGGACAAAGGGGCTGAGAGTGGCGCGTTCGATACGTTTTCATTGTGTCTCGTCGATATAGATTCCGGGCTATCAAAAGACGTGACACACATACTCTGTTCCAGTGTTCGCCATCTTGGTTCCCATACTACAGGAGTACCAATAGTCATATAAAATTTGTATTTAGAATATGATTTAAAATGTATAGATGATTTTTTTATCATAACCTTAATTTTGAGGCCAACGCAAACACAAGTACACTACAAATATAGTACAATCCCACCAAAAAATACGTTCTCGCTATAGGGACAGATAAAGCGTTTGTTCAATATAACTAAATATTTGGAACATTCTAGATATTTAGTCCATACTGTAATGGATTGCAGAACTCTGGGACTTTGGTAAGATTTGATCTCAACCTAACCCGATACCCCATTATGTTGGAAATAGCAGCACAAGTTCTTATGAATTTGGATAAAAATATTCTGACCAGTCATGCCTGACTTCCCATTTTTTACCATGTGCAGACTTAGACCACTGTGAATCCAGCGGAATTTCAGCGGAAAAATATTCTGCAGTTTTCAACCAGTTCCCATGCGGAAAATAATGTCTTATTACAATATTTATAAGGGATAAGTGGATCCTATTTGAAATAATATGTTCCGAAGGAAACAACTCAGACCAAAATATAAGTTTAAGCACATTTAGCTGATGGTGGTAATTACAACATACATAACTGTATAACACATAAAACAGAAAAACTAAAACGTATTAGAATATATTTGCAGAATGAAAAAAAATACAAAATGAAAATAGGCTACATTTGATGGGAACACAAAAATATCGGAAAATATTTTTTTCAATGTTACATGCAAACTCTAGGGTTCGAGACCAAATGCGAATATGATCCGCAAAGTTCCGACAGTTTTTAACAGTAATTTTGAATAGTACCAATAGTGATAAGTATTATATATAAAAGTTGAAGGGAACAAAGCGGGACCTCAGGATTTATGGGGTTTCAAATACAGGTGAAAAACAATATTTTCTGAAATTTGATGCGTACTCGGTATATCGAGGCCAAATTCGAATATGTTGCTTTATATGCCGACAACTTTTGACAACGATTTCGATGACATGTACAAGTCAAGTGTCTAACACCAAAGTATGATCAACAGCGGAACAAAACTTAACAAAATATGGCCCTTCAAAAATTGACAAAAAATCAGATTTTGCTGTATTTCGAGCGAACACAATGATTCGATGCCAAATTCGAATATGATCCGCAAAGTGCCGACAACTTTTAACAGTAATTTTGAATAGTACCAATAGTGACAAGTATTATATATAAAAGTTGAAGGGAACAAAGCGGGACTTTATGATTATTAAATGAACTCAATGATTCGATGCCGAATTCGAATATGATCCGCAAAGTGCCGACAACTTTTAACGGTAATTTTAAATAGTACCAATAGTGAAAATGAATATATATAAAAGTTGAAGGGAACAAAGCGGGACTTTATGATTTATGGGGCTTCAAATACAGGCCAAAAACAAGATTTTCCGAAATTTGATGCGAACTCGATACATCGAGGCCAAATTCGAACATGTTGCTTTATTTGCCGACAACTTTTGACAACGATTTCGATCACATGTACAAGTCAAGTGTCTAACACCAAAGTATGATCAACAGCGGAACAAAACTTAAAAAAATATGGTCCTTCAAAAATTGACAAAAAATCATAATTCGCTATATTTCGTGCGAACTTAATAATTCGATGCCGAATACGAATATGATCCGCAATATGCTGACAACTTTTACCAATAATTTTGAATAGTACGAATAGTGAAAAGTATTATATATAAAAGTTGAAGGGAACAAAGCGGGACTTTATGATTTATGGGGTTTCAAATACAGGTGAAAAACAAGATTTTCTGAAATTTGATGCGTACTCGATATATCGAGGCCGAATTCGAATATGTTGCTTTATATGCCGACAACTTTTGACAACGATTTCGATGACATGTACAAGTCAAGTGTCTAACACCAAAGTATGATCATCAGCAGAACTAAACTTAACAAAATATGGGCCTTCAAAAATTGACGAAAAATCAGATTTTGCTGTATTTTGTGCGAACTCAATGATTCGATGCCGAATTCGAATATGTTATTTTATTTTCCGACAACTTTTGACATGATTTCGTTTACACGTATAACCTAAGTATTCAACAACAAAGTATGATCACTAGCGGAATGAAAATTGAAAAAATATTGCCTTTAAAAATTGATGAAAATCAGATTTTGTCATATTTATTGCGATATCAACTATTCTACCCCGAATTCGAATATGTTATTTTATTTTCCGACAATTTTTGACTATGATTTCGTTTACACGTATAACCTAAGTATCCAACAACAAAGTATGATGAATAATTATGGGCCTTCAAAAATTGATAAAAATCTGATTCAGTCATATTTAGTGCGATAACGATTATTCGACCACGAATTCGAATATGTCATTCTTTGTTCCGACAACTTTTGACAACGATTTCGTAGACATGTATAACTAAAGTGTTCACCGACAAAGTATGATCACCAGCGGAATGAAAATTAAAAAAAATACGGGACTTCAAAAATGGGTAAAAATCAGATTTTGCCATATTTGGTGCGATATCAATTATTCGACGCCAAATTCGAATATGTTATTCTATTTTCCGACAACTTTTGACAACGATTTCGTAAACATGTATAACTAAAGTGTCCACCAACAAAGTATGATTACCAGCGGAATGAAAATCAAAAAAATATGGGCCTTCAAAAGTTGTTTGAAAATCAAATTTTGTCATATTTGGTGCGATATCGATTCTTCGACGCCAAGTTCGAATATGTTATTCTATTTTCCGAAAACTTTTGACAATGATTTCGTTTACATGTATGACTCAAGTGGTCAACACCAGAGTGTGATCACCAGCGGAAAATATTTTAAATTGACTTGCCAAACGTATAGCATGTATATATAATCCTGGAGTGTTAACGGATTAAGCCGTTATTTCGAAATATCAGTCAGCTGAAATATCAGTCAATCTGAATTATTTAAATATGAATGAGTATGAATATGAATGAGAC